GTGGTGTCGCCCAGACGCCCGACGGAGGCATGATCGTTATTTATTATCCTTTCGGGGCGTCGCTTCAGACACCCGGTCGGTGCATTTTATTACTACTCTATTACTACATATTCATGTTGCATATAAATAACCTTCTTGCATGCATCAGGTATTTTTATTTTATGACTGAGGTTGTGATCATAAAATATTTTAGAGCATGATTTGTTATATTATACTCGTGTTCATAATGTTTGCGAGTACATTCAAAGTACTCACTGGCTTGTCCCTGGCTATTGTCTTGGCTAGATTTTCTTGCATGGAGAGGAGCATTGCGATGACAGCCCCGGAACCTAAGCAACGGTCACTACAAGAAATATGTCAACTAGTGACCTTCTGTCAGTGACCCTGGAACAATTGGTCATAGATCTATGAACATTTTAGACAAATTGGTCAAAAGCTGTTCGGGGGGCTCCAAACCCTAAACCATTGCGACCATTTTGGTCAGAATGGTCATAATTTCCTTACACGAAATGGTCACAAAGCAAACAGTGCTAGTCCGCTGCCTTATTTCTAGTTGTTAATGACCAATATAGGTGGTCATAGCCTTGTAGATTGTGGTGGGTTGTGATGACTAGGTGCCATCTCATCAGTTTTGCCTATGTATCATGTCCATGTGGCAGTTTTTGCCCTAGGTTGTGAAGCAACCTATATTTCTGTTATTCCAAAAATTCCCAAAAAATTCTCATAAATGTTTTGGATCATATCTTCATCAAATATGTCAAAAAGATTCCTTGCCTAGTTCAAAAATAATTCGAAAATTTTCATTTTCCTATTCTGTTCAGAGCAGCACTGTGTGAAGGAAGTACCACTTTGGCATGTCCAAATGGTATCCATTTTCTATAGTGCTTTCCTATGCCCAAATAACAATCCTGCACCAAATGCCAGCTCAATCCATTCATTATTTTGAGCCCAGCTTCAACATTCGTATTTATGTCCAGTGTGGTACTTTGTAAAGTAAGTACCACCTAGGCTCCTCCTTTTGAGGAGAAAATTTGTGAAGACGGTCTTCTTAGTAACTGATCATCCTCAGCCAAAACTAACGCCCATTAGCCATGTGCATTTCCCGTACCGCAAATCAAACATTTGGCTGCTTATTCATGTTTGAGCATCGATCGGTCTGCTCGTGAGAATCTTATGTTGTGATTTTCTTCCTAGAACCTAACTGGGGAGTGCCCAACCCATTAGACATGCCTAGGCCACGCAGAACACATGGCAATGCCATGGTCACATGCCGGGCATGCGAGCTTACGCGCTCTAGAGTTGGGGCCCTTGGCTACCGTCCAAACATCAATGTCTCACCATAAAACCATGTATTTCTGATTAATAGTTACTTGTTTACCTAGAAATGATTTTTGTAAAAAATAAATAGCAAACTATGAGGCAACTGCAGTTCAAATTTGACCCGCTTCCACCTGAATCGGCGACAATTTGACTTTTTCACCAGAGGTGGATCAAAACTTTTTACACCCAACCATTTTGTCAATTGTGCATTAAACATGGCCGAGTATTTTATAAAATTGATTTGGTCCATTTTTGCAACAATTATTTGGTAGTTCCTTCACAAAAAGACCTCATTTCGGGCACTCAAAAAATGGAAAATGAATTTTCCGTGCAAAGAAAATGGAAACTCCCTTAGGCAACATTGTTTGGAATTCCAAGGTGCACCCTTGTGCACAATATGATATCATTTGAACAAACTATGCCATGAATGTGGCCATAAGATTGATCATTTGGCTTGAAAGCCATGAATCTTCACACTTGATAGCTCATTTCCGAGAACACTTTTTCAAAATAATTACCGTATTACAAGTTTATTATTTTTCCTGGAAACTTGGCCACATATAATGACACAATGCGAAGGTTTTTCAATTTTTTGATTTTTTTGAATTTTTATGCCCGTTTCAAAATGCGGTCAAAACGGAGGGCTTGACCGTTCCTAGCTAGTGGTTGAATCTTGGAAAACTTTTGGTGTTTCTATGATAAAATATATACATATGTACCTAGAAATGATTTTTGTAAAAAATAAATAGCAAACTATGAGGCAGCTGCAGTTCAAATTTGACCCGGTTCCACCTGAATCGGCGACAATTTGTCTTTTTCACCAGAGGTGGATCAAAACTTTTTACACCCAACCATTTTATAAATTGTGCATTGAACATGTCCTAGTATTTTATAAAATTGATTTGGTCCATTTTTGCAATAATTATTTGGTAGTTCCTTCACAAAAAAATCTCATTTCGGGCACTCGGAAAATGGAAAATGAATTTTCCGTGCAAAGAAAATGAAAACTCCCTTAGGCAACATCGTTTGGAATTCCAAGATGCACCCTTGTGCACAATATGATATCATTTGAACAAACTATGCCATGAATGTGGCCATAAGATTGATCATTTGGCTTGAAAGCCATGAATCTTCACACTTGATAGCTCATTTCCGAGAACACTTTTTTAAAATAATTACCGTATTACAAGTTTATTATTTTTCCTGGAAACTTGGCCACATATAATGACACAATGCGAAGGTTTTCCAATTTTTTGATTTTTTTTGAATTTTTTATGCCCGTTTCAAAATGCGGACAAAACGGCGGGCTTGACCGTTCCTAGCTAGTGGTTGAATCTTGGAAAACTTTTGGTGTTTCTATGATAAAATATATACTTATGTACCTAGAAATGATTTTTGTAAAAAATAAATAGCAAACTATGAGGCAGCTGCAGTTCAAATTTGACCCGCTTCCAACTGAATCGGCGACAATTTGTCTTTTTCACCAGAGGTGGATCAAAACTTTTTACACCCAACCATTTTGTCAATTGTGCATTAAACATGTCCTAGTATTTTATAAAATTGATTTGGTCCATTTTTGCAACAATTATTTGGTAGTTCCTTCACAAAAAAACCTCATTTCGGGCACTCGGAAAATGGAAAATGAATTTTCCGTGTAAAGAAAATGAAAACTTCCTTAGGCAACATTGTTTGGAATTCCAAGATGCACCCTTGTGCACAATATGAGATCATTTGAACAAACTATGACACGAATGTGGCCATAAGATTGATCATTTGGCTTGAAAGCCATGAATCTTCACACTTGATAGCTCATTTCCGAGAACACTTTTTTAAAATAATTACCGTATTACAAGTTTATTATTTTTCCTGGAAACTTGGTCACATATAATGACACAATGCGAAGGTTTTCCAAATTTTTGATTTTTTTTGAATTTTTTATGCCCGTTTCAAAATGCGGTCAAAATGACGGGCTTGACCGTTCCTAGCTAGTGGTTGAATCTTGGAAACCTTTTGGTGTTTCTATGATAAAATATATACTTATGTACCTAGAAATGATTTTTGTAAAAAATAAATAGCATACTATGAGGCAGCTACAGTTCAAATTTCACCCGCTTCCAGCTGGATCAGCGGAAATTTGTCTTTTTTACCAGATGTGGATAAAATCTTTTGACACCCAACTATTTGGTCATTTGTGCATTAAATATGGCCTAATAGTTTATAAAATTGATTTCATACAATTTTGCAATAAATATATTGTTGGTCCTTCATAAAAAAACTCATTTGGGGCACCCGAAATAGGGAAAATGTTTTTTTTGCAAAAAAACTCATTTCCGACGACACCTTTTTAAAGATATTTATCTTATTCCATGTTGTTATTTTTTTTGAAAACTTGTTCAAATTTTGGTGACACAATGAGAAGGTTTTCCATTTTTTTGAATTTCTTAGATCATAAAGTAGCTTAAATGATTTTAACACTTTATTTTAAGTCAACTACAACCAATTTAGATGGTCATAAAATCGTACTGCATTCTGATTGGTCTGTGGACATATCACCCGGATCGTGCATCCGACGAGGATCCAACGGCTGTCCTCGACCCATCCACACCAACCCCGAAACCCTAGATATGTTCTCCGGGTAAATTTCCATCCAGCCCCCGCCTCCTTTCTTTCCCTCGCTAGCTCCACCGATCTAGATCCCTCCCCTCCTCCACTCCTCCCCCCGATACAGATCCTTCCGCCGCCGCCCCGTCCTCCCCTTCCTTTCGTCGCCCACCTCTCCCCTCGCCTCCGCCACCCACCTCTCCCCCTCCCACATCGCCGCTGCTGCCACACACTGCCAATCCCCTCACTCCACCACGCCTTCTTCCTGTCCCGATTGTCGGATGGGCATCGACACGGCCAGCGTCAAGATGTCCATGAACCCCTTCTGCGAGATTGCCATGGAGGAGGAGTTGCGGCTCCGTGAGGCCGGCGCCGCCTCCGAGGACATCGCCGCACAGTCAGTCCCGCGTAGGCCGCCGACATGCTCCGCACCACGCTCTCCATGGGTGCCGACCGCGCCGTCCACATCCTCCACAACCCCGGCCCCGCCCGCCCGCTCCCCCCGCTCGCCGTCGCCAAGATCCTCCATGCCCTCGTGCTCCAGGAGACCCCCGGGCTCCTCATCCTCGGCAAGCAGGTTCTCAGATCGGCCTTGATTTAGTCAGTTTTTTGCCTCATCTTTCATGGTGTCTGACTTGCTTTGCTTCCTGCCTGCGCGTGCAGAATGCTCCCTCCAGGTGAAGTCGCCCACCGCAGCCCCAGGGGATTCGTCTCCGAGGACGAGTTCCTCTCCATCCCGGAGTTCTCCACCAACCCGCTCTCCCAGGTTCGTCCCTCCCCCTCCCCCTCCGTCTCTCGTCACCGAGGCAGGCAATTTTGTGCTCCTGCTTGCTTTGTCCCCGTCGTGCCCACCTCCAGATGACTCACTAACTGACTATAGTACCAATGCGTGCCTCTTGTTTTTATGCGATGTCCTTGGATTACACACACATCACTTGCATCTACTACTGTTTTCCTAGTGGTATTGTTTACAGCTCTGTCCCCACTCAGCTTTTCCACTAATTAGGAAAAACTAATCAAGCATTATACCAATCACAGAACCAGTACGTAATCGATCGTCACAGGGAGTTTTACCATACATGTGGAACCTGAATATCTCTATGAAGCCAAGCACCTTCCACATCTTCTTGGAAAAAGCTCTGGCTATCTTTGATTGGGTACGAACGAAGTCATAGTTTTCAAAGAATGGTATAATGCATTTTGCCAAATATGTAACACTTATCATAGACCACAAAAATCTCCATATAGATCATTTCTACTGAAGATTTGCAGCCCGTTTTTCTTCCCCAGTAAAACTCGGTGTATCTGATTTGTACATATAGTGTAGTTTTTCCAGCAGAACACGACCTCCCTTGCAAATAACATAGCCTGTTGACTTTATTTACTTAGTTTGACTGTTTTAGTTATATTTAGGAGATTCAGCAGTGTCAACTATGGAGGTGAGACTGATTTTGAGCTTCCATTTCTTCTATTTGCAGAGGTTGCTACATATGGTTGATGGATTGAACTTCAAGGAATTTATTTCTTTTCTCTCTACCTTCAGCGCAAGGGCCAGCCTTCAGCAAAAGATTGAGTGTAATGCTCATCACGTTTCTTTTCCTCTTTTTGCTGTCTATCTTGAAAGGAGTGTATGTTGGTTTGGGTCTCTGTGATCCTTATGATGACTACTAATTTGCTGCTCCGGTGTTGATCTGGTTTGTGTTTCATTGAGCAGTGATATTTAAGGTGTATGGCATTGATGGCAAGGGGAAAGTATCCTTCAAGGACCTGGGAGAGGTTTCACGGGACCTAACAGGCTCATCCATGTCAGAGAAACAAAGAGAGGTTCTGATTTGATCCAATCCTATAGTTCATTGCATAGTACTACATTCACTTGCAAGTACACTTGCTAAATCAACAAGAACAAATGTGGCTCTTTCCTTGTTTCCTTTTCAGATAATTAGTACCCTGCCATCATAAACACATCAAGTGTGTATAACTTGTTTCCAAAGTGAAGGGAACCCTGACACTAAATTGTAGGTTTCTTCATTGCAGTAAATGTTCAGAGTAGCATGCTTCGCAGTGCAAATTCCTGTGTTGATATTTACTACTACATCTATTCGTAAATATAAGACTTTTATTTAAGAACAGAGGAGCATTAGCTAGGTGCATCTGAAAATGTTATTCCAATTTCCTCACAGAACCTGTACGCAATCAATCGGCATAGGGAGTTTTACCATGGTTGAACACATGTGGAACACATCAATACACCCACTGATTTTTTTCACTTGATACATGTGCTGCTCTTTTTCTATCTATGTATGCATCTATCTATTCCTACCAAGCAAATGGAAACAAACAGTGGAACACTACCTAATCTAGTCTTGTATAGTTTCAGGTGTATAAACTACAGACAGACTTGTATAGTTTCAGGTGTCCCCTCTTCATTCATTTCCTAATCTAGTGTATACAGACTTGTGTAGCTTGTATACTCTATTCTTTGCCAATACTCTATTTTTTCAGTGGAACATTAACTCTTGCTTGCACACCCTCTTATTTTTACTAATTGTATAGTTTGATTGATATATGCTCTCTATGTCTGTATGGAACCTAAACAAACATGCCATACAAGGAAATGGAAGGCTTGTGTAGTTTCAACTGTTCGTTGCCAATGATTAATCATCTTGTTTGTTTTTTGGCTGCATCTGACATACATTCTTATGCCTGTTTACTCCAGGTCAGGCTCACGTTTCCCCTCCTGCCCGCCGACGCACTGCTTGCAAACAGAAATGAAGCGTCAATGATATGAACCACAACAAAAATTGACAGAGCGCCATGGACCCCAGAAGGGACGCAGCTGCTGGCTCTGCGCCAAAGAGAGCCATGCATGCGCCATTGGTTTTGTCGTCCACCGCTCCTCCCCGTGTTACAGAGTACTTGCTTGTTGCTTCATTGAATTGCTTGGCTGGTGCTCGCAATTGCGTGGTTTGGTTTCGTTTGACTTAGCACTGAATCCCTCAATTTACCATTTAGTGAACAATCCTCTCATGGTATTTGTCTACACTAGATTACTCCTACTGTGATGATGATGTGTCTGATGATAGACACCTTGCAACTAGCCACACATGTACTGATAGTTTATTGTGATTATTACTGTACCATGAGTCATTCAACACTTGAAGGCACTGAACTACTATTCTGTATTTTATAATATGTTCCTGTTATGCATGACATAGGCTTGATGAAATCTTAGTCTTTTAATCACAATAACATGGCAGTAACATGTTATCACCCTGGATGAAGAAAATCATATGTAATGAGTTCTTTAATGTTAAATTACCTCAATTGTCAAGCACTGTTTGTTTTTGTATACATTTGCTGCTATCAATCGACTACAGTAGTCATTTGGATGCTTGGGACTTGCATATATTCTACTGCACTTGAAACATCAAGACGTATTTTTCCTTGTTTTGGGAACAATTGGTGAACTTCACATTCCTGAATATATGCATTACTATTCGGTATAGGTCTAGGCTACTCTTCGTATTTTACAACTCCTTATCATGCCCCTCTAATATTTCTATAGGTGGCCATGAACTCAATAAATCATCAGGAAATGCCTTTGCTGCAGCTCACCTATGGCCTTGTTTGTCCTGCAGGTTAGTGAGCAACATTAGGAGGAGGAGCTCAAGCAGGACACCATGATGCACCACTGCAACAGCAGGTAGCACGTCCATCTCCCTCTCCCTATGCTGCCAATCCTTTTTGTTTCTTTAAAACTAGGTCCAATCAGCACACAAATTGACTGTTTATTCTATCAAAAATCAGTTTACAACTCTACAGAATTGTGTTGATGTTCATCAGTAGAGAGAGGGAGAGAAAAAAAAGATTCAATGGTTGATGTTTGTCAGCTAGTTAAACGGCTTGCTTTCTACTAATGGTCCATTAGGTAGAGTAGATATGCACCTGGTGGTGGTCATGGCCTTGCTGCTTCATCAGTTTTTTTCCTTTGGGCCATTAGCTAGCTATGCTATGCATGTGGTGGTTAATTTGTAAGAAAGTTCTGTACTTGTTTTTCATTTCCTTGCACTAGCCAAATTCATCCTTTTTTAATACTAGCACTAGCACATCATCAACGTACTAATACTTGTTAGATTTTGAGTATACCACTGCTGGTAAAACAACAACAACAACCAAGTTGCTGCACTCAATTAAATTAGCCTACTTCCTAATCTATTAATTGTTTCTCTTCCACTGTTTCGGTATCTCTTGGTTTGTAATGGTACAACAATATGTTGAATACACATCATGATATATACTTGATGAATATGCCTGCTACATCTCAACTTGTGTATCTGTTTCAGTATCTCTTCCACTTTGTATCTGTTTTCTTGTCTGAATGGGTATCTCATTTTAACTAGTTGAAGAACAAAAAGCATGGTACTAGCAAGATCAATTTGTGTTATCATTCATCTGTTGTAACACCAAGTTTGGTCTATTAACATGGCGTTGATTTTGTGCTGCAGATTTGGAAGCTGGGAATCTGGGGAATCTGGGGAATGTGAAGTTGAAGAGAGCTGGAGTATATAGACTGTGATTACCATTCTATTGTGTTATATTATGATGTAACATGATGATTCTGCTATTTTGTCTTTGTTGTATGATGTATCAAACTGATTCTGGCTGTTATGTGAAGTACTACGTGTGTTCCCTAACTGTTCCCATTTGAATGTTGGTGATTTATTTACTAGCAAATTGAAATTTAAAGAAAATGACCTTGACAATTGGGACCCACTTACTAGAAGAACCTGACAATTGGGACCATCTGAATAGTGGGCCCATCTTAAAAAAGAAGTACTTGAACTGCTCAGCCAAAATGGCCATGGTCCAAAAATAAAAAGGCTACGATGTTGGGCTTGGCCCGTGAAGCTAACAAAAATTGACAGAAAAAATACACTAAATTGGTTGAACTAATGGGCTCGGTCCATATAAACACCCAATTGGATCGGGCCGATTCTAATTTTTGACATTTTTAATCTGTCACAATTTTTCGACGTCAGATTGCCACGTCGGATCCGACGTGGCCTGGGTAGACAGCCAGTGACCAAAACAAAAGGTCATGGGTTCAACGACCTTCTGTTTTGGTTGTAAACGTCTACGACCTTCTCACAAAGAAGGTCACTATAGTCAGTTTACGACCGCCAGCTTTTGACCTTCTGTTTTTGGTCACAAAAAGGACGCAAATGAAAAACTATGACCTTTCAGTGACCAATAGTGGTGGTCACAAGTTGACATATTTCTTGTAGTGGGTGATACAAGCCTCGCGAAGATAGGAGTTAACCTGGTCAGTTGTTCCTGTGGGAAATGGAGTTCCATAACGCTGATGATCCACAAACCGCTTCCGCCATCAACCACTAGCAACCTTATGTTGTACTCATAGGCCAGAATGGTCTTGTACTACATATTATGTATTTTTGCTTGGAGTTTCTGTATCAAGTTGGTGCCTCATCAGCTAACAGTAATCCTGGGGCTGGTGAGCACAAAGGCCATTTTCTGGGAAATTAATACCCGGAAAACTGGTCATGATAATGCCACGTGTCGGTCACCCTTGACGAAAGCACTTCTGTGACGCACGATTTATCGTCATGGAAGTGGACACTTCCGTGATGATAATGTTGGTAATGTCATGGAACACTTCTACGATAGCATAGGTATGACTATCTTGATTCTGTCATAAATTTTTCATGGATGTACATGCATGACAAAAAACGCGACCTACTGTGACAAACACGTATCATCACGGAAGTGTATTTTTTTGTAGTGTATGAGTAATTGTGAGACCAGGTGTTATTGTGAGTATGGTTAGTTCATAATACTTGTTGAAACTTGAATGTTGGCTTTACATGTTTACAACAACAAGAGCAAACCGAGTTTGTAAATGTTTTTCTTTATCATGTTCAGTTTATCAACTGAATTGCTTGAGGACAAGCAAAGGTTTAAGATTGGGGGAGTTGATACGTCTCCAACATATCTACTTTTCCAAACACTTTTGCCCTTGTTTTGGACTCTAACTTGCATGATTTGAATGAAACTAACCCGTACTGACGCTGTTTTCAGTAGAATTACCATGATGTTGTTTCATGTGTAGAAAACAAAAGTTCGCGGAATGACCTGAAAATCCTCAGAGACAAGTTTTAGAAAATATAAAAAATACTGGCAAAAGATGAAGACCAGGGGGCCCACACCCTGTCCACGAAGGTGGGGGGTGCGCCCACCCCCACTGGGCGCGCACCCTGTCTTGTGGGCCCCCTGCTGCTCCGCCGACCTCAACTCCAACTCCATATATTCCGTCTCTCGGAGAGAAAAAATCAGAGAGGAAGTTTCATCGCGTTTTACGATACGGAGCCGCCGCCAAGCCCTAATCTCTCTCGGGAGGGATGATCTGGAGTCCGTTCGGGGCTCCGCAGAGGGGGATTCGTCGCCATCGTCATCATCAACCATCATCCATCACCAATTTCATGATGCTCACCACCGTGCGTGAGTAATTCCATCGTAGGCTTGCTGGACGGTGATGGGTTGGATGAGATTTACCATGTAATCAATTTAGTTTTGTTAGGGTTTGATCCCTAGTATCCACTATGTTCTGAGATTGATGTTGCTATGAATTTGCTATGCTTAATGTTTGTCACTAGGGCCCGAGTGTCATGATTTCAGATCTGAACCTATTATGTTTTCATCAATATATGTGTGTTCTTGATCCTATCTTGCAAGTCTATAGTCACCCATTATGTGTTATGATCCGACAACCCCGAAGTGACTATAATCGGGATACTTCTCGGTGATGACCGTAGTTTGAGGAGTTCATGTATTTACTATATGTTAATGCTTTTGTCCGGTTCTCTATTAAAAGGAGGCCTTAATATCCCTTAGTTTCCACTAGGACCCCGCTGCCACAGGAGGGTAGGACAAAAGATGTCAAGCAAGTTCTTTTCCATAAGCACATATGACTATATTCGGAATACATGCCTACATTACATTGATGAATTGGAGCTAGTTCTGTGTCACCCAATGTTATAGCTATTACATGAGGAATCGCATCCGACATAATTATCCATCACTGATCCATTGCCTACGAGCTTTTCATATATTGCGCTTCGCTTATTTACTTTTCCGTTGCTATTGTTACAATCACTACAAAACCCAGAAATATTACTTTTGCCATCTTTACCTTTTACCACTGTTACGATTACTATCATACTACTTTGCTACTAAATACCTTGCTGCAGATACTAAGTTATCCAGGTGTGGTTGAATTGACAACTCAACTACTAATACTCAAGAATATTCTTTGGCTCCCCTTGTGTCGAATCAATAAATTTGGGTTGAATACTCTACCCTCGAAAGCTGTTGTGATCCCCTACACTAGTGGTTTATCACGGGCCTCCCCGTCGTTCCTTGTCGCCTGCCGCCCATGCCGCCACCGGCCCGGCGGGGAACGAGCAGCAGGCGTTGTCGCTGCATCCTTCGGTGTGGCGGGAAGGCCGCACCACCACCCCGTCGCTGACTTGAGGCGGTTCGTCGTCACACGCCCGTCACGCTCCCGCGGATGTGCACGCCGCGCTGCTCCTGGCGCGTGAGCTCCTGCACTACCGTCCCGTCGGCGACCTCTACGAAGAATGGCTCGCTCGCATCACCGAGCTCGTCAGCTCCGCAGGGGGCTCTCCTGCGCCGTCCCTCTTGCTGCCTCGCCCTCCGTCCTGCATGGGTAATGCAGCTCCGGAGGTGCCTCCCCTGCCTCCTCCCCAAGAA